AGACAGGGCATATCTTGCTGCCCACTATGTATTAACATACCACAACCAGCACACACACACACACACACTTACTTGTTTTATTTGTCTTTTTTGTCTATTTTTCATTTTCTTCTACTTTTTTAATTCTAATAACTAATCTGCATATAGGCCTACATACATTTTGCATTTGCTTTGGCAACATAAACGTCTATTTCCCATGCCAGTGAAGCCCCTTTGATATGAAATGAATTAATGCATCATGAAATTAGTAAGAACTATATTCTATGAAGAGTACAAACAACAAACTGTATTCTAGGCGGCCATTAAGTATACACTATAATACAAGTAAAACACGACATTAACTTGTGGAGTGAAAAACATTTGTTGCAAAAAGAAAAAGGCGATATTTTAACACAGTATTTTGGTTTGACCTTTTTTAAAGAGAGAATATGAATTCAATTGATGCTTCCCTCAAATCTATTTCATGAAGTGCCTTCTTCCATTCATCCAACAGATGTCAGGTTTGTCTTTCAGATACGGCCTCTGTTGGGGCTGAGAGGAGGATGCTGTTTGGAGGAAAATCAGAGCCGGGACTTGGCTGGGACGAGCTTGGTTTATTTAAATGTTCAGGAAAAATGGCTCCCAGAATGAAGGAGAGGAAGCACTGAGCACTTTTGGAGTAAAGCATCGTGTGTAACATATGGATATACTCGGAGTGCCCCACGTATCTGAAACATTGGGGGTTATCATCGACGTTGCAGCCGAAGGATTTGGACGGACTGGTGAGTGGATGGCGGATAACAGCGGGCTCTGGAGTGGCTAACTAGCACTGCGCTGCTAGCCGCCTAGCATGGGAGCTAGCTCGCCCAGACAGGAATGTGCATCTCGGCTCGCGTTGACGTTAAGTTTCCAACTACAGCAACGATAAAGATAATGGTAGCATGTCAACTGTAGCGTCCGGAAAGACTTATTCCATATCTAGTCTGAATATTGAAACACAAAGCAGCTTCTCTATGTGCAGTGTGTTTATTGAAGGCCAGCGTCGCTGTTGAGCCTGACAGTTGTCGTTCAGATGCTGCGATGCTAGTGCAATCAGCTGGTCGGGAGCTAGCTGACGGTGGTTGTACGCTAACAGAGCTAAACACTACAGGTCTGCTACTGTGTTGTGTTTTCAGTGAGCGTCCTGACATTGTGGTGCTTGAAGGAATTCAACGAATTACAGTCACTGGAATAACATATGAGGACGCAGACTGTCGTAAGTTGACCGACAGGGGCAGAGCTACAGTTTGTGGCGTTGGCTAGATTTAATACTCTACGTTATTATGACAATATGGGTGGCTGAGCAGGGCTGCGCTGTAACGTTACGACTGTCCACTAATCGCCGTGGTCTGCTGGTAATAAAGTCGCAATGACTGGCATATTTACTGCGATTACATCGGCCTCAATGCGCCTGATGTGCAACCTAAAGTCACCTGTGTGCGGCCACTGGCCAGTGCATTGTTCCTGATTTCCATGGCTGACTGCCTGTACAGTCACCTAACTACCCCAGTCTGGCTTGCAGTCTGGGGCCGAATGTGTATTATGGTGCAACTAATGTTATTACAAACTTGTGTCATGCTCTTGCAGTGTTTACTGTGTCCCATGGCAGTGTCAGTTGCAGAGCTCCCCTTGAGATAGACACAGATCACATGATTAAACATGGTTTTACTTCTGCAGATGTATTCCTGGCACTGTAGGAAGACGCTGCGTGTGTCAGAGTAAATGCTCTTTCCACCTTGGTAGACATTATAATGAGTGAGATGCGTTTTATGTTCAGTATCAGGTTATTTAATTGGGTCTGAGATTCTCCACTGCTACACTGGCTGTGGGTTTCATCTTAATCTTTTCCAATTACATACCTGTTTCTGTTAATAATTCACACTGGCGTCGTTCATTTACGTCCTATTCAGTCACACTTGTTAGTAATGTAATAGATGTTACACGCAGCTCAATTGTTTATCCTGGTTGTCTCATCTTTTCTGCTGAAGACAACATCACTCACTCCTAGCTCTTTGTCACAGGTGATCTTCTGACCCACACAGACACAGTGTTCATTTCTATAGTGCATTGCTTCCAACATGTTTTAAAACAAGGCCTAAAAATCACCTTTAACAGCAGAAACTGAATATTAGGAGCTTGACCAAATTGGTATTTACTGCAGGGCTGCTGCAATGGAAGAACCCCATGATGTTCTGTCTGCCCCAAAGAATGAAAGTCAGGGTTTCGGCCTGCAAATGCAAGTAATCAAAACAACATAATGACGATACACAATGGGCATATGGAAGGAAACATTACTCTAGAAAGTCATTATTTTACAAAAAGAGAAATATTTTGACATTGGCCATTAAAAGCCACGTTTGACAGGCAATTAAAAGTTGCATTTCTATTTCTATTTTGAAGCCATTGGTTTGTCCAACCTGAATTGTAGCTAAAGGGAGTTAAGCTGGACGGATGAAAAAAACCGAAGCCACTTTGAAGTTTAAATCGTCTGGGACTCTAAAGTTGTCGTATTCACTCCATTTTTAGGATTGACCATATTAAATAATAATTAGGCACCGTGCCAGCACCATAACTTTAATGAAAAGCAGGGTGTAAGTGGACTGAGAAAGGATAACCATAATACTGTTAGAGCATTGAATATAGCTGCAGTAAGTCTGTTTATGATGAACCACCTTTAAAGATAACTGATCATCATTTTAATGTCCTAATCTAATTTAAAAACCTGATTAGTTAAAGTAGCTGTTGAAGTGTGGACTGCTCCTGCTTCTGCAGCATTCAGAGAAATTGAGTTACTTTTTGCATACAGGGCCCTGTGTGTTTGTACTGTGAGCACGAGGCGCTGATTTTATGTACTTGCGTCATATATTTCTATGGGAAAAGTTAAGCTAGCAAATATGCTAATTAATTGCCGTTAATTCAGAAATGCTACTTAGACAGTGAGTTGATTGGATATCTTTTGGTTTTAAACTGTTGGCAGGACTAAATAAGCAATTTAAAGACGCTATCTTGGTCTCTGGGAAATTGTTATTCAAATATTACAATAAATGTTAGTTGCAGCCAAAAATAAATAAATAAAATGTTCTGCAATAATTAGGCAGATTACTCTGTTGACAACAAGAATGGATGTCGCCACTTGACATGCTTTCAAATTAGAAAAGCCATAAATAAGCGTGAAACTAAATCACATTTGTGGGCAAAAACTTAAAAGCATAGGCCTTTAATTTTTTAATAACTGTGAAATGTTTCACTTTAGCCAACTTTGCTCTGTTGTCAAGCTTGTCCAAACAGTGAGTTGCAGCCCCCAGCCTCAGAATAAAACAGTGGAAACAAGTTTTCCTTTGCTTTATACTGATCAAATTACACCTCAATATTTAAAAGATAAGTGAACATCAAACCTAAAGCTGTGTAACTCCTTTTAATTGTAGACATGATACATGATACTGTCAACTGCTAATAGCAGATCTTTAATGCCAGGTGATGTAATTGCCTGAGGTACTGAAGGACATAATGGCACATATTGATACAGACTGTGTCGGTGACACTTAACCTGTACATAAAGAATGGCCCTTCACTTTGTTAGTCACAGAGGACTGTGGGTATGCTGTGGACATTGCCTCAGAGAAGCAATAATGTCACGCAAACATTCTCATTAACTATTGGACAGAATAATGTTGGTTACCTCCAGCTAGTTGTTGAAAGCCAAATAGTCAACCCTCTACTGTGTTATTATGTATTTACCGAGATTATTCAAAATCTTGTGAATAGTTGGTGTGACATAAAGTTATAACTGTAGCCTCAGGGCTTTCCTTTCTTTTGTTCCTTTAAGATAAAAGTTGTTTATTGATTTAGCATGTACAATGTAATATGGTGAACAAAGGAAAGGACTCATTTGTATCCCCACCTCGGTCCCACACAACATTTGTGCAAGTACAAAACAATAAATAATAATAATATAAAGAATAATAACAAAACAGAAATGAAAAAAGGAAAATTATACCCAGCACTTCCTTCTTGACATATTATTTAAGTCCATAATAAAGCCCCCCCCCTTAGCACGAAGTAAGAAGTTAGTTGTGCAATAGTGGAGACAATAGTCAAAGCCCTGTGTCCCGGGGTCTTCCTCTCTTCTGCTTTTATCCCACTGTGCTTTCAGTGCTCTGTAACATGATGATCAGTCATTTGACTGGGTTTTCTCTCCAGGCCTAAAACAAGGTTTGCTGTGACTTACTGAATACATATCATTGTCCCTATATCTACATCTGTAGTTCTCTATATATGTATAGGTTGTTGCCAGAGGAGACACAGCAGTAGGTTCAGTGTGACTTGAGATACATACACATCATTTATTTGATCTGGTTGTTTGTGGTGTTTAGTTATGTTGCGATGAAAGTCTGAAATAACTTTGCTCATATGAAATGTCCTCATGTCTACCAGCTGCTTCATATGACAGTTAATTGTGATTAAAGATCGCCGTGGTTCTGTGATTGATTAAGTTAATATAATATGCTCTTGCTGACACTTCCAGTGTTGCCACAGTCAAAGCTGAGAAATGATGCTTGTGAGTGAGGTTTGTGTTTTTGCTTCTTCTAACCAAGTGTAGTTTGTAAGTAGTCAGTATGTAAGTGCTGGCTTATTAGGATTGGCCCTGGTACCTTGTAAAAACAGGAAAATTGCAACCCTTTTATAGACCCAGAGTTTGACAAGGGACAGCACATCTTAATGTCTGGGTTTGTCACATATCCAACAGGTCATACACAGGGCTACAACTAACGATTGGTTGAGATACAGTTGTTATTGTGAATGATACCCAAGGCCAATTTAATACAGAGTATTACTTTAATCTTTAATCCACAAAGACAAAAGTACACAGACAAATCAAAGATCTGAGATTCTAGTTTGATAAAGTGCAGCTAGATATCTACATTAAATATCTAGCAATGCACCAAGTGAGCTTTCTCAGCCCATGTAAATACATCACAAAGAACGAGACTCTGTTCTGTTGGGTGTGTGTTGTCTCTCACTAAAGATGCCATGTCAGACACCAGACTTCAGTTGCAGTTTACCAGTTGTCTTCTTTCTTGAGAAGAGGCAGTGTGCAGTCATAAAGCAGGAGAAGATATGTCTTAATTAGCCCCCAGGGAAATGGCTTGCACGTCATGAGAGCCAGCGTACTGTAGTACACTGCTTATGCTTTGTGACACGCATATATATGCAAACATGCATTCAGTATTTGTGTGCTCATTTTTTGCACACGTTAGATATTGGATTGCAGTGTGTGTTAATCCCTTAATCTTGGTAAAAGGATAAAGCTGCTAAATTCTGTATTTTTTTTTGTCAACAAAAACAACAATGATTGGATCTTACTAAAAAGTATTTCCTGTGTTGCTAAAGCCTGACAAGTTACGCCTCTGTGCCATAGAGCTTCATTTTTGTCCAAAAACCTATTCAACACATCAGATATACAGATGGAGTATTCATGGGACTTGTTGACACCCGTGTTATCCTTTTAATGATTTGAATTGTTTTATTTATTACATAATATAATATCTGCAGTAGTTCATAAATTACATATACAGCAGTTCATCCAAAAGCCTCAACCTTTGGAGGATATATTGTAGCATTTCCTACTTCACTTTCCTCAAAATTGTAGGAATTAAAAGTCAAATGTGTAACATTTAGGGGGATCTATGTCTCTAATATTGATAGGAATGTTTTCATTGGTGTAATAGGCAATCGTTGAATG